CTCCGTTGCACCCACGTCACGCGCTTAAAAAAATACCCACAAGATTTTACTAATGCTTGCAATGAGAATTTGAATGTGAAGGAGGAGAAATCGTGTCAGATTGGAGTGTAATGAATGCTAGAACCGGCGCGGGGAAAATGGTGACAAGAAGACCGTTCTTGTGTTATTCATGTGTGTATGTGTTTAATTTCCGCGTCTCAAATATATTTTACACCGGCTTGCACCAAGATTCTGCTCTCACGTGCATCATGAGACACTACCAATGTATACGAGACGACTTTAATCGATTCTTTAGTGGCAATAGCCAACATCAGCTTTAAATCGAGACCACCTTCTCCATCATATGTCTAAATGATAGCTCCGCTACCCCACATGGAGTAATGAAGCCCGTTAAATGCGAAAATGTTGTGGCTGGTACATGTGCCAAGCGTGGAGCGCTTTACTCAAACGATCCCCAATGTCGAACACGTATCGGGATGGGGGATAAAGTCCCCCCGGCAATCATGCATAATCCCCTTCATATAATATTTTAATTTAAACGCAGTACAAATGTTGATTGAACGAACTTGACATTCATCTTCTCAAAATCTGACCGTTTCCTGAAATGTCACGTGAGAAGGCCCTTGTCAACTTACTGTTAAACGTTCGTTTGATGTGCTCCCTCGAGAGGAAATTCTGGCTGTGAAATTCTGAGCTGCAGCTGCTTTTGCACAGCGCGCGTGCTGCAGTCGGGGAGGGGGGCCTGAGGGGAGAATAGGTTGTTCGAGTGGCGGAGGGGTTGCAACAACAAGGGGTTGTCCGACATGTGCGAGCTTGTAGAGCGGGATCGTGCGGGGCGCCGAACGCAGCAGTGCGTGGGAGGGAGTTGTAGGGGGAAGTCCCTCCCGAAATCAAAGATAATCGTTCATATAATATTTCTAATGCACGGTAAGTACAAATGTTGAATGAACCAACTTTACATTCCCATCGTAAACAAATATTTTATCTTCTTTTAACACATACAACTGGATATAAGTGTGTGTATTTGTTCCTCTCAAACCTTCGAACCACTGGGTAGACTACTCTCTAAATTTGATCGAACCCTTTTTCAGACGTGAAAAACAAAAATATAAGGCCGTCTCAAATTGTTACCCCAGAGTTGGTTACAGCACAAAATGATACTAGCAATAATGCAACTCGCAATACATCTAGATAGCACTCGAGTGGCGAGGGGGTTTCGGCAACAAGGGGTTGCCCGGGGTGTGCGAGCCAGCAGGGCTGCAGAGTACGGAGAAATGCACGTCAAGTGCTGCATCGTGTTTCACTCGCGAAGCTTATTTAGTCCTAGATAAACCGCTGTTATATATTTACAAAGACTACCCGGCCGATTTGTCCCTTCTTTCGTGAAAAACGCGGTTTGTTTACTAATAATTTCGGGGTAAGGAAGAAGATGAATTGACCTCTCACATTATCATCTCATGCTCAAACGCTTATTGAGAAAAGAATTGCGGTGTCTTCCCAAACACGTGGGATTTAAAACAGGCATGTGGCTTATCTTAGGCGAATGAATGTAAACCCTCTGCTGCCGCATGTTACAGTGTTTTAAACTGGCTCTCGGTATATTTACATGGCGCGACAAATATTTACAAACACACTCAAGTGATAAATGAGTTAATGTGTGTGGTGTAAATATGGTTGATAAATAGTGGTAATTTATGTAGCAAGATTCGTTATTGCAGTCGTCTAAAATATTAATGGGACCCGAAGAAAATAGAATCAATATTTTGAAAATCACAGATTTCAAATTAGTTAAGGGAAGAGAAAATTACGGTACCGCTATCGAGAGGAATCAGAATTGGACCATTTCCTCTCTTGTTGTCTGCTTTTATTATATCACTTGCAACAATAAGAAATACCAACCACGTGCTGCAAACTTAATGTAAGGACCTTTTTATTTTATGTTTATGTATTCTTTTGAAAGTATATATCCAACCTGAGGTCGGGGTGGGGATGGGAGACCATTAAAATTTCGAACACTTCTTGTTCAGTGTTCTCATTCATAAAAAAATCTCTCAGGACGAATAAATTATTTACTAACGTTGAATATTTTGGACAGCTAATCATAAAAGATAATTTGATTATTGTGTGTAATAGAGATTTAAGCACCTAAAATCACACACCCTGTTTTGCCATTTTATGCCTTTTTTTCTTTGGCAAACTTTCAACTTCCATTTTACATTACATCTCCGAAATTATTGTACCAAAATAATACGACTTCTTTTAAAAGTAGGTTCTATGTTCGTTTGTGAATACGCAAATCGCCTACGTGTCATTTAACGGTTATTTGACTGCTTGTTCTCGAACTTCGTCAGTGGATGTCAGGTAATGGGGTTCCGCTGCTGCGCTCATTCCACCGCCTGCCTCCGCTGCCAGTCGCCGTCGCATGAGCTGTGAGCGCTGCTCCCTCGCCCCAGACGCCATTTCCGGCGCTGCTCCGGTAGCAGCGCTCCTCGCCCAACCCGTCGCCCACCCACCCGCGCTCGCCCGCTACCTGGCTTCCGTCGCGCGGCGCGGTCGGAGCGGACTGGCAGGAGTGGATTTATTAGATCGTTCTTGACGAAGTGGGTTCTCAATTCTCGCTTGACGGAATGCGGAAATGCGTCGTAGAATCCTCAATTAAAGATAAAGAAAGATAGCAGTGCGTGGATGATATGTGCGTGTTTGTAAGTTTGATTTGATTTATTGGATTTATTTTCGTCGAAAATCAGTCAAAACTGTATTTGATGCATGGGTAGAAGTATATTCTACGCAGGTTTTCTTGGGATCCAAAATCCCGTCCCAACTCTTTTACTATAAGTAGTTGGATGATCAATACAATTCTCGGCAGGCGCAACGGTACTGGTATAAAAAAAGAAAGTGAAAGCGAAGAAAAGTATAACAAAAATAAAAGTAAATTATTATTAAAATTCATTATAAACTGAAAACAGTTGAAAATGTTTAATATACAAAAAATGACTTTCAGGAAAGATAAAATAAATCCATAATAATATTTTATATAATTGTATTTACGTTATCTTTACACAACTGTACATTACAAACATTGAATAACGTAAATATAATAAACTCGTTTGAGTACCCTAGACAACTAAAAATAATCTTTAGGTTATCTCAGTTTCGAGTTCTGAAAATAAATCAGTGGGAATACACGGCATATCCAAACCTTTTCTCCTGTTTGTACTATGAAATGTTGAACATAGATATCTTAATTAATAATAATATGATGATTGACAACGTTACACACTGCCGAAAAGTAGACTGGATATACTATTTCCTTCCCGCGTTCTCGTGTGTAAACAGGTAGACGTACCTTTGGGCTATCAAAAGAAGAAAAAAAGTACAAAAAAGCGAAGAATGCCGACGCACTCGTATTATCTACTCCTCACAAGTTGGATGTCATCAAGTTTATTGCAGCTACGAATGGGAACTGTTTCAAGGAGAAATATCTACAAACCTGAAGTTGCCTTACATGTATAGAACTTCTCTTGTACAAATTGGTTCTAAGATCGGTTCTTGTGAAACACTTCTGAGCCACAGCCTCGTGGTCGAAGTGTGTGTTGGCGTTGGAAAGGTCGCTCCGAGCTTGCCAGTTCATGTATAGGAGTGTCTGCTGTCGTGTCGAAAGACCAGTCTCAGAGGAAAGCGTACTTTTAAAATAGCACACACACATTGTCGTCCTAAGATATTCAAAAAGCAGATTGATTTATTAATATTTAACTGCATCCGACAGTGTCCTCGTTGCTCTCGGCTGCTTAAGGCGAGCCGCTGCATTAAAAACTACACGATATTTTTATGGACCAGTGTTGTGACTGATGTAATGAAGAGGTGGGCTGGGCGTCAATGTATTCATGGAAATTCCCACCACATGCTCTCTAACGAGGAGTGCCTTGCTTAGCATGGCATTATCACGTTGAGGGACGTCGTCTGTCTTTCGCCCTCCCTCTGCCCGTCGCGTTGTCTCCGGTTACCTCCTCCCTCCTCTGAAACCCTCTCCTCGCTCTCCCATCCTCCTCCTTACCACTCCTCCTCCTCGTCATCCTTCTCCCCGTCCTCCTCCTCCGCGTCCTCCGCCGCCGTCACCGCGTCCATTTGAAATTTAGATTCGCCCAATTACAGGAGGCGGTGCGTGGGATGACTGGAGAGTTTACTGCTGTCACCTTCCCCCTCCCTTGCCCCCGCGCGCCTCCACTCGCCCATGTATTCACAACGCCCGCCCCGTCCCCGCCTCGCCCTGCCTCTCGATCTCCCCCCTCCCCCTTCCCCACCTCGCGCGCGGACGCCAACGCCGCCTCTTGTTAGCCTTTCGAATTAAATCCTTCTTCTCTTTTTTCATAATAACACTGTCCGTCGCTGTCATACTTCAAATCTGTCGTGAGATGTAGCCAAATATTTGTACACTCGACATACAAAAACTTAATTAGCATATCTCGATACCGTGTTTCTCACATACTTGCCATGATTACTTTTCGCTAGTCTTCAAAATTATTAGCCGTGAAGACAAATATGTGGTAGTGGGTACTTTCTGTAAACGAGCACATCCATAAAAACAAACTGTAAAGATGTCACTGGCAGTTTATTTGCTCGTTAGAGAATTCCCGCCGCGTTCCGCTGCAGCGGGCAACGCCGCGCCGCCCGCGCCATCGCTAATTGGATTTTTCCTCGAATCCCTGAATGCCTGACGGCGCGCAAAGCATGAAAGGAGCGGGTAAGCGGTCACGGCTGCTTACGTCGCTCCGCCTCGCCTCGCCTCTCCGCGCCTGCCTTTGCAGCCCAGCAACTTCCACTTCGCGCCTCGGTCCGCCGTGAGTGACGGTCGTCTCTGCACAGCTGCTGGTTCCTCTTTAGAAACTACACCTTTCATAACACCAACTCAATATTTGTATTCTAAATGGACATGATGAAAATGTACGGGAAACGAAATTATTAATCGGCATTTCTAAAAGTATAAGTTCAAATATGACACTGGCTACTTATTCAAGTGGTTACAAACTAAATTCCAAATTATATATTTTCTATCATCTTATAACCCACACAT